ATCAAAAACAAGTGAAGAAAAACCTGCAACCAATATCAATTGGAATGGGAAAAATAATTAAAAAGAAAAAAAAAGAGACGGTAAGAGAAAAAGCAAAAAAGCATCTATATATCTTGAATCTCAACAACTACAATTTTTAAATAATAACTTTTCACACACACAAGATCCTTCAACACAATCTTCATATATTCAAACACGTAGTGCCACGCCACAAGTTTTGACTGATAGATCAATTAGTGCAATGACACAAATGACACCAACATCACCTCAAGTAATAAATACAATTAAAATACCTTTCCAGCCAACTAAAACGTCGGTAGACATATCTCATATTCCACCATACGAAAGAAAATTTAAGCAAATTAAAAGTCTGGAACAAATTTGGTCTATGCCTGCAACAGTAGACAATAGACCAACCTTGCTATTCTGGTATATTTTGTTCTTTGTTTCAATTTTATTTCTTATTATGTTGATCATAATAATAGTATTAGCTGCAACCTAAGCAGTCAGTTATTCTTAATAGTAATTTTTTTTTATAATGTATTTTAATTTATTCAACGTTAGTTTATTTATTAATGAGGTGGGTGGGTAGGGAGAAGGAGGGGAGCGGGAGGAGGTGGGAGCTTTTTCAATAGAAAGGACCATCCATGCATGTTGTGCATGTTGTGAAAATGATGATGTTTTGAGAAAATTAAAAAAAGATCCGCGTTAAGATTTTTGAGAAAAATATCTCAATATTTTACTACGTAAAGTAGGTTCTTAAGCCAAAAATGTTCTATATGAGGAGGAGTTACATATAGCAATGGTATTAACTCATAATCGCTTTTTTCACTTTTCTATTGAAAAGTCCCATACAATGACAAATTATTTTGTTAAATCTCCTTGACCAGGAGAGACTCCCATTGAATCTTTTCGATATTGAGAAGAAATATTGTCCGATATATATTATTGGTGTCGTGTAAGTTCTTGGGAAGGGTGGTAAAGTGGAATGAGAAGTCGAGAGAAATCTTGATGTACCAGCAATAGCAATGGCGGTTGCTGATGAGGATCCCAATGCTTTTATAGTGTAGCCACCTTTGAATGAAATGCAAGATGGGTTGATACATTCAACAGCACCGCGGCCGTGTCCAGGGTCAGTTGATTGACATGGGGCTGAGGCTGGGGAGGCTAAAATGTAACATATGCGTGACTGGACAGAACGTTAAGTTTTGAGAATCAAGGACAGGTTGTGCTCTTATTCAAAAAATATATTACAATTTGTTGAAGCAGCTTTAATTACTCCCCTGGAAGAAGAGGCACGTTTAGCAATTTGGGCAGGGTATCAGGTATGGCCTATAATAAACCAGTTCATAACCGAGGCTTTCCCTTTGGAAGGATAGATTCATTGTATATTCAACAATCCAACTATGTTGGTCATTGAAGAATGGATGCGTAGTTCAATTTTTTTATTGAATGAATTAATTATAGATATTATAGATATTATTAATTTCACTATCTTGTCTTCTTTGTTCTACGATTAAATTTTTTTGCATTATTACTTTTAACAAAACTATTATTATAATTATTATTATTATTTTTATCTTTTGCCTTATTTAATTTCAATGATGTATTTTTTCGTCTCATAACTTCCCTCGCTTTATCCAATGCGCCAATTACAAGTAACAATTCTTTTCTTAATTTTATGATGCCACTTTTTTTCCTAACTGATGACACCATTAAAGGCGGATCGATTGAATTTGTATAATTATTTCTTAAAGTTTCTTGTACTAAAAAATGTCGACGCGCTAAATCAGGTGGAATTACTAGGTCGCATTTTGTAAGAATTATTTGGAATGTAACATTTTTCCTAAAAAATTAAAAAAATTCTATGATATTAATAAGCAATAATAGTAGTTAGTTAATTAACGAAATTTGAGGGAAGTTTTAAGGATTCTATTTAACTCATCAAGCATTTTTAAAAATTCAATATCTGCTATTTTAATTCCATGTCTAGCATCCAAAAGAACATATAACCTCTTTAAAGTTTTCCTTGTAGATATATAAGTTTCGATCTGATTCATAATAATAAAAAAATATTGTTGTAAACTATTCATCGAATTCCAATCTATTGAAGGACTAGGATCTTCTTCAGGAATAGCTATAATCGTAAGAATAAGAGAACAAAGATTAATATATATTATACATATATATATATATGTGAATATACATATCATGCGCGTAAAGAGAATAATTACCACTTATAAGTTCTTGTGAGTGTTGAGATAATCTTCGTTTAAGTAAACTTCCACGATAAATTAATTCTCTGTTATGCTGATGGAATGGGTTTGAATGAATGAATTCATCATCTTCGTCATCAATCTCTTGGAAATGCGTTAAATGCGTGGGCAGTATTGTAGTTTCTTGTCTTTGAGTAAATACACCTTTAGAAAAAAAGTCAAAAGATTATTATTTATTATTTATTATTAAATAAATAAATTTTATTTTTTTTTTTCGAGTATATAAAAAAAGCGAAACTTACTTTCAACTTTATCCCATGCTCTCTTAATAAATGATCTACTTTCCTCAATACTAATATTATATCTTGAATTCTGAATAACTTCTCCGGTATTATTACTACTACTACTACTATTACTATTATTATTATTACTGGATTCGCTCAGAGCATTATTTGACGTAGGAACTGAATAAAGACGAGATATTGTTTCGAATAAAGAAAGCATTTCAAGAAATTGTAATTGTAATAATATATAAACCCGTATATACTATCTATTTGTTATTGTAGAGCCAAGTTTTTAGATTCTTAATAATTATAAGCTTACAATATATATTTATATGTGTATATATATATTATTTTGTATTTTATAAAATTTTTTCTATAATTTATTTATTATATATATATACAAGCAAAGAAAAAAAAAGAGACGGTAAGAGAAAAAGCAAAAAAGCAAAAGGGAATATTTATATATATTTGTATTTGTGTGAAAAATCCTTTTGTTTATATATAATAAATTGATAAGATACATTGGATATAAATAAATAGCAAATTATACAATATAAATCACAATGTACTCCCCAAAAAATCGATGGGGCAAAAAGACTGTGTTTCGTGTATATTTAAAAATGTTACGTTTGTGCATACCACGATAACTTAATTCGGGTTAGACAAGTTATGCAAGATGAGAAATCCTGATATAATCAAGTTGTTATTATATAGTTGTATAAATAAATTAATTATAGTTGGCGAATAATTAACATCCCTGGAAAGCTCCATTTCTCGACATATTCATAAATTTACACAAAAATAGAATATCGCGGCGTTCATGAATAAATAAATAAAATATGTCACAGTAATGTAATTTGAAATTATGGCAAATTAGTTGTCGTCATGTCATGATTAAACATCTTGATTAATATAATTGATGAACTATCTCGATTAACCTTTAGAAACAACTCAATTGCAATCAATCATTAGTT